GATATGTCATAATAAATTAAATTATTATAGTTAAGTTCTTTGACCTTTGACTGTTTTGTTTTTCGTTCAATTTTATTTTTTGTATTAAATATTTTCCTAGTTTCAACACATTGACTCCATGACTTTCCATTTAGGTGTGCCTGATCTTAAAGTAACTACTTTGAAACCCGTTGCCAATTAAATGACTTAAGAGCGATATCCATGCGACACCTAACAGCAAATTCAGGTTTAGAACACACTGACAACTTTCAGTGCATCTGAACGCACTTTGGCAACGTTGCTCTAACTATTCCCAGACTTACGCTCCCTTCAATTTATTACTTATAAACTATAGATGATTTAAAATATAAAAAAGGTCCGGTCTAACAAAGAGTATTTCTGTTTTGTTTTCTCGTTTAAAATATTTTTTAAAGGTATAACCTGGTGTAACATTTTCGAAACTCTTTTTTCTAACTAATAATTAATAATTTATTTACGAAATATATTTTTAAATATACATATGTATTTCTTATGATTATTTCGAAAACATATCTAAAAAGTACCTATTTCTACATTTTCTTATATACAGGGTGTTTGTTGGTAAGTGTGAATGATTTTAGGGAATGTTTGCAGAAATTATTATATAAAAAAACATAGATCAAAAAAGTCAGTGGCGCAGAATTTTTTTATTAAAAAAAAGTGGCATTCTCGCACAAACGCCACTGCTGCAAGTACAAATATTTGGAACACCCCAAAAAATACACATTTGTCCCTTCAAAGTTTTTTTGCAAATTTAGAGTAAATATCTTTAAAACTATTTGATATAATTAATAAAATTTAATAAATTAAAATTTAAACATTCTGTATCCCGGAAACGAAGCATATTTCGTCCTACATAGGAACTTTAATAACAATTTGCAAAAATCTTTCGTACTTATTTACAAATACCCTCTATAAAAATACGTTTTTTAAATAATAATCCATTTAATACTAGTTTGTGCAACAACAGTGGACAATCCATTGGAGTTGTACTGTATGTTTTTTTCTACGACCCACTAACGAAAATCTACAAATTTAAAGTATTATTTTAGGAAAAGACAAAATAACTAATTTTAAAATAATTTATGACTTTACTAATTTGTGAAATAAAATAAACTTGAAGCCCAGATTTGAAGTAGGGCCTCTCGTGTGAAAGACAGATGCCGTATCCTCATTTTCACTTCTACATTTGGAATTTTAGTTCTAATAGTAATTAAATTAGTTTCATATAAGTAGTTTGATTCAAATTTAAGATTTTTTAAAATGTGGTCCAAATAAAAATAAATTAAAATTATTTATGGATTCTACTCAAAAATAACTCATTTTAAATATTTTAATGTATATTTAATCTCAATACCTAAAAAATATACTGACAATTAGTTTGACAGAATTGCCACTTATTTAAAATGTTTAAAATAATAGTAGTGGGTGTCCAATATATAAACTGTGATTGGTGGATTTCATTTTTTTTGCAGTGTTCTCACTACCTAAAATGGATATGAAATATATTCGTCGAGTTGAACGCAATAGTATATTTTTTTCATTTTGTAGTCTGTGCGTGAATAGTAGTTTGTGCAACAAAATTGGATATGATGGCCATATCGCACGAAGACGAAGTTTGAGAACGACGTCGTAGACAGAGTGGTTAATCGTCTGAGTGCAATACGGACAATCCACTCGAGTTATACAGTATATTTTTTCTACGACACACTAACGAAATTCTACAAATTTAAAAAAGTATGTTATTGAGACAAAATAAATAATTTTAAAATAATGTATGACTTTTACTAATTTATAAAATAAAATAAATAATTTAATTAGTCCCCAGCCCTGATTTAAACTCAGGCCTCTTGCTTGGAGACAAACTCATCCGTGCCCTCATGCCATTCGCCACAATTGCCATTTTAGTTCTAATACTTGTAATTAAATTAGTTTTATATGGTTTAATTAAAATGTAAGATTTGTTTGTAAATTTGGACGAAATAAAAATAGAAATGCTATTACTTATCGATTATACATAAGAAATATTCATTTTTACGTATTGTAACCATAGTCTAATTTATTTTATAGGTTATTTATTTATAACACACTATTTACAATTTATTTCAGACGTACTAATGAATTTATATAATACTTAGACACTGACTAACAATTCTAAATTATTTATTACAATTTAACTTTTCATTATAATACTCTGTACTAAACTAAACAGCCCGACGATGAGTCGGGCTATTTATATTAAGTCCAACTCTGCTACTAGAAGTCTCTAGACGGTCCCGAAAATTTCATCTCTGACTCAACGGCACACTCTACCCGTTTCTCGAGCCTCAGCGGCTTTCCCAGAACATTCCGTCGCCTCGAGCATGAGTCAGAGCCAGCTGAAGGTCGCGCTTGCTTTAGACACAGGGTCGGATTAGGAATTTCATGACAGTATATTGAATCTCATAATTCAAAAATATACTGACAGTTAGTTTGACAGAATTGTTACTTACATAAAATTTAAAAAATAATAGTAACCGGGTGACCAAAATATAAGCTGAATGGTGGATTTAACTGTTTTGCAGTGTTCTTACTAGGTAGAATCGATATGAAATATTCAGTTGAACGCAATGGAATACTTTTCTGTTTTGTAGTATGTGCGTAGATTAGCTAATAACCATGTGGGTATAGGAAAAATCATATCCATCTGGGTGTAGAAAATAGTAGTTTGTGTAACAAGAGTGAATTTAAATTAAATGGATTTCATATAGTTTTATTAAAATTTATAATTATTTATTTCTAAATATAGATCAAATAAACATAGAATGCTATTATTTATCGATTCTACACAAGTATAACTCATTTTAGGCAATAGCATATTTTTTCGTTTTGTATTCTGTACGTAGATAAGCTAATATCCATTTGGGTGTAGAAAAAATTGTTTCCTAGTACCAAAAATATATAAAAATAACATTGAGTAAAATGATTTATTATTAGTAAAAGAAGAAATAAAAATAATCATCTTTATTGACTATTGGTCGGATTTCTACTCGGATTTCTACTCGGTTTTCTACTCGGTTTTCTATTCGGTTTTCTACTCGGTTTTCTACTCGGTTTTCTACTCGGATTTCTACTGGGATTTCTAAAATCTAAACCTCTAGCGAAACGTGGATCTAAGATCTCGGGTACTATACAATCTAAATAAAATTGCTATAGTTTGCTTTCCATATACACCAAAATCTATCATCTTTTTTTATTTTTTCTACAAACATACCTAAAGGTATCAAAATAATAAAAAAACAAATACTTCGTTTAGTTACGTGAAGTTGCCCCTGAACCTGGTAATAATAACAATTATGATTTCGATTTAATTGCATTTTGCCATCATTAATAATTGCAAATGTTATTATGTTGCAAACCCTTGATTTTTTCGTAGTCAGTTTTGAAGCAAGATATTTAATTTCGATGATACTATCGGTTCCTAATAAACCGTCGGGACCTAAAAACCAAATTCAGAATCCTCAAATAAACCACAATTATTGGACATCCGCTTTAAATTTGTGAATATTGCTTTAAAGCTAAAGGTTCTTTTTCTGTTCCATACTTAGTATATTAATTTCCCATATATTTTGACTTAAATGCTTAAAAAGGCAGAAACTGAACTGGACTGGAATAAGAGGTGATAGTGTGTGTCTTTTTCTAAGTAATCTTGCACGATATTTTATAGATTTTCGTCAAAATGGAAATATCATTTTCGGCATTTCCGAAAGTTTTCCGATTTTTACGACAAATTATTATAACTCAGCTTACACACAAAAGTTCATATAAACACATTAACTAAATACGAAACGAAAACACCTACACTTGAACTAAAAAGAGTAAAGTTTTTTTAATAATTTCATCCTAAGCGACTTAAATGACTACCTAAATACTTTTATCCTAATTTTCCGGTACTGCATGCACCGCCAACGTCCGCCGCCTTGTTGCCAAATCAATTAATATGGATTTGAATCTTGACAGATTTTCTCAGATTTCGTAATTCAAGGTTTTCAAAAAATATACGCGTTAGACAAAAACGTGTATTGGAAAAAATTTGCTGATTTTTATATAACAATTCCCGGTAAAGACTCCTTTTTGCAATAATTTTCATAATTTGTATAGAAAAAATTAAAAAATAAGTATTTCTGAATTCGGGCTCTACAGCGGAATTCTCTATCATTTGCTTAGTAGGTATACCAAATTTTATAAAAAAATATTTAAAACTGAGAAAGAGAACCTTGAAGTCGTTTTAAGCCAGTTTCTAACCATGGATATCGCTCTTAAAGGATTTTTTTTACACTTTTGTACTCAACCCAAACCACACATAAGGCTACTCCCATCTCTAATAAATATTTGTTTTATTTTTGAAGTATGCGATGTTTAAAATTAACGCTGTTTTGCAGGGTTATGTTAATTCAAAAGTATTTTACATACTATTAAAAAAACATTTTTTTAATCAAATATAAATATTTATTAAGTCTAGATATAAGGGAAATGGTATACATGAATAGATATATATTGAATCTACAACATTATCAGTATCCCACGTGATGTGGTAAAACAAGAAATTTAATTGAAATGACCCAGGGCCGTAGCTAGCCCCATGTTTCAGGGGGGGCTAAACAATATCTTGGGGGGCTTCATTTTTTTTTATTAGAGTATAAAAATTGCAAAAAGACATGAGGTTTTGTTTTAAATTCCTTCCTCCGAGGAGGGTATTAAAAAAAACAAGCAATTACAAAACACATATTTATTCAATGAAGAACATTTTTTTAAACAAAAGAATAAACTCTACAACAAAAAAATATAAAACGTCTTTTCCAAAGAACATCTAACTGGTTGAGGGTTGAGTTAGTAAAAGCGGCATCAAATATGCCAAAGAGTCAAAAAATTATTTTTTTTATTAATTTTCAGAATAATGCAGTTTCCTATTTTTTAAATTATTAAACTCAACCAGCAGATTTTCAATATTTATGTTTTTTGTTTTCTTTTTCAAATGCTAAATGGGTAAGGTTTCCCAGTCTCGGATGTAACATTGACCTCCTCTGAGGTGGCTGAGGTCTATCAATTCTAGTAAGGGTAGAAAAACTGGATTCACAAAGAGCCGTACTACATGAGAAAGTACGGCAAGTCGCTAGAAATTCATTTTGTCTAAAAATACACTGAAAAATATCGGGATTCTCTGCAGCATTCTCGTTTTTCTGTCGCTTTATATATTTCTTGACGACTTCTATTTCCGCAGCACTTGTCAATTGAATGCCCAGTTCGGCCAGTGGTTGATATTTTTCAATATCTAATTTTTCTCCTGACATAATAAGCTTCAATTAAATCATTGTTGTCGTTAAATATACGTCTTAGCTCTACTAATATTATGTCAAGAACTTCAAAAAATATTTGTTTGAAATCTGCTTCCTAACGACTGCAAATCTCATAGGCTCGGTAAGTACAAAATTTTCTAACACTTTGCTGGGTTTTCTTTTTTTGGCGGTGATGGGTCTTCTGAATCAATAATCGAAAATTGTACGCTCATTATATTAACGAGCCGGTGGTACTCATCATTATTTCGCTTTTCTTCAAGCGTTTGCACAACGGCTGAGACTATTTTCATCATGTCAGTCAGTGTGGCCTCCCTGCTTTGTAGAATTTTGTCTGTGCGTGTACTACTATCTATCTGTAAGCAGTTTTAAGTTTTAACAAAATATCTTGGTTTAACACTACAGGGAAATTAGGGGAATTACCGAAATAAAATATATGGTTATCCGTTTTCCGATTTCCAATTTATTGTTTATGGCTTTGTGTTTATTATGTTTTGATTAAAATGGACAGTAAGCAATAAGTAACTGTTAATAAATAAAGTATTTTCTTGTAAGAGAATATAATATAAGTGACTCAGAACCATTACTAAAAATATATTGATATAACGGTTCTACTATAAAATTTTTATAGTAAGTACATTTTTTCCTAATTCACATTTCTAAAAAAAATCAGTACAATTTTAAAAATCGTCGATGCGACTCATTGTTCATTGTTTGCATTTTTCAACGGCCGTTAATCGCGTTTCTATATATGGGCAATTTTCTAGGGGGGCGCAGACAAGCTTTAGGGGGGGTTCAGCCCCCCCTGGCGCCCCCCTTGCTACGGGCCTGAAATGTCCGTTCTTATGGAATTTCATAACAACTTTCGTATCAATTATGTTAAATAGGTCAGTGACGACATTGTTTTAGTGTTACTACTGAAGATATTAACGTTACTATTAACCAGTTGAAGACATCAATTTAGCAACGTGGGATACGGGTATTGTTCCTTCACATTGTTCTCAACAAAGAAAATTTTGTAATGAAAAATATTATTGGATTTATATTTATTTGATTAATAATTATGACTTCTAAAACACAATATAACAATTAAATAAACATATTAAGGAACACTATTATGTTAGGATTAATATAAAACGTCCAAACGTCCATACCTCATCCTTGATTCCCTGTAATTCTTAGATGTAACGTGAATTAAAAGAATAACAACAATTCAAATATTTTCAAATTCCAAAGGTATATTAAGAATAAAAATACTTTTAAAACGGTGTGTTGTTCGATTCCTTTTCTTATGATTTTTTCTTAAATGTCGCCCCACTATAATTTTTAAATCCTTTTCGGATAGTTTTATGTAAAAATAGCTATTTTAATCTTATACAGTGTATCTTATTAGTGCGTAATTGTTTAATATTTCATTTTGTGTTATAAACATTTAAATAAAAGTTATATGGATTTAAAAAATTCATGTTTCAAAACTATTTTTGGATAACCAGGGTGTTGCGTTTTTGCCTGGATAATAAAAATGTGTTTTTTATACATAACACCCTGTATTTTACTCTACTTTTGGAATGGTTTGATAATACTGTATTCAACCCTAAGAGATTTTTTTTGAAATTAAATAATTATTATTTAGACAACAAATTGAAATATCATGATAATTTAGGTACGTTTACATTGATTTTAAAATTCTTTAATATACAGGCTCATAAGATAATAAGCTAATGAATAGTGATGATAGAACTGGGACTAATTCCCAGGGCCCAGGCTCAAGTGGGGGCCCGGCAGCGGCATAAGGGGGGCCCGGCAGCGGCATAAGGGGGGCCCGGCAACATTGGTGAGGACGTTCTGTACTTCTTCAGAAGTTCGGCACAAACGGGGGGAACTTTTTTTTAAAGATTCAGTAAAGAGGAGGAGAAGTTTTTGCTTGAAGCCTGTTTTTTTAGAGAAATTCAAGCAAAGAGGGGAGAAGTTTTTGATTGAAGGCCTTTGTTTTTAGAGAGATCCAGTAAAGAGAAGAAGAAGGTTTTGCTGGAAGACCTTTTTTTTAGAAATGTGATATTAAAAAGGGCTTAATTTTTTATAAAATTGTCGCGGGGCCTGACCTGGAGAATTGTCCCGGGACCCGACCTGGCTCTCTGCGGCCCTGTTTGAAACATGTTATAAATATGGCTAATTTTAAGTTCAATTTACTCAATATTTTCGCATAAACTTCTTTATAAATTTGTCTAAACAACCATACCAATATGTTAGCTAAAAACACATATACAGGGTGTTCCATCAGTGCGTAATTGATCGATAGCTGTTTTATTATTAGAAATACGAAGAAGTGTTTACTATAAAAGTTGTATGACCATATTTAACATTTATTCTTAAATATACACGGTGGTCCATAAACGAGGTGCTCACCAAATCTACACTTTTGTAAAACAAAACACTCTGCAGGTATAGTCCATACAAACAATAAGTCAACTACAAAGAAATACCGATAATGGAAAAAAAAGTTCGGCTTCCGTTTGAAGATGCTTCAAAAAAAAATTCACTAAATATTATGTATGAATACATCTAAAAAGGAGTCTCTACCAGGAGTATGTCATTATTATGCCCCTGGACGATAGTAATACACTTATTTTAATACTAAAAATTATTAACTCAACTCCGAATTGGAATATAGTAGTACAGTTTATTATTTCTCTCAACGTCGCTGAAATGAACTGATAACCTGTGTAGACAGACTGGAATATCGTGTCGTGCGGCATTGTAGTCAAAAATATCCGCAAAGTAAGAAGAAGCCAGTGTCGTCGCATCGTCGTCAAGTCAGTTTATTATTTAATTTAATTGGTTGGAGTATTTTAAACATTAATTATTACCATATATTTCAATTTTAACGATTTATTATATAAAATAGATGTAATAAATAATTTTACAAAGCGAAAAATAGATTAATAATCAATTAATTTGAGGATTTGATTATGAACAATAGGTATACCTATAAGTAGAAATATAGGTACTGCGTTCCAAGTATATGATACAAAATTAAAAACTGATATAAATATATACCAAATGCAAAGTGTCTATTGAAATTATCGACTGTCGGTATATAATTTTTTTCAGAAAAATAAAATGCCGTCTCTGGAATAAATATTTTAATTAATGCATTTCCAATTCTTTCGAAATAAAGGTTTCTTATTTTATATCAATTCTGCATGACATACCTACCTTCTTATAGATATAAATAGGTAAGAAATAATTGACATAATTGGTTATATTGCAAACATACTGGTTGGGTTACTTCCCAAGTGACTTGTCGATTAGTAAACGAATACGAACGTCAACATTTTAATAATTTAGTTATAAAAAATATTTTAAAATTAAAATTATAAAGTAAATGTAGAAATAACCTAAACATAGACCGACTTATAAAATAAAATGTGACTTACATATTGCTGATTTAACTCAGATTTTCTCATTGTTTCCAAATTCCTGCTCCTCGTCTTCCTTCTCCTCGTTATCACTAATTATATCATCATCGTCGTCGTCAGCCTCATTGAGATTTATGATAAATCGTTCTCCATTATTTACGTGTATGCCGCTGTTGTTCCTGTATTCCTCTTCTATTTCATACACATGTTTTATAACTGCTTCCCACTGCGATTTTCCGATCGCATCCATTTGTTCTTTGATCAAGTTGACGACCTGAGAATCAAATTTGGGAAATATATTTTTTCTCCGAATATTTTGTTTCAATTGGCTCCAGAGTAACTCTATAGGATTGAAAATACAAAAATATGGTGTTAACCTTAAAACTGTATGACCTCTTTCAGCTGCAGTTTCATCAACTATATACTTTTTTTCAAAATTTTTAGTTTTTAGGACTTCCAAAAGTTCATCTTTTTTATATTTTTCATCAAAATACAAATCATGATTCATTAAAAATTCTTGAATTTCATCTTTCTTAGAGTTTTTATTAGGTATTTTTTCCTTAAGCCTGGAGTGATATGAAACATTATCCATAACTATTACACTTTTTGGCTTTAAATTAGGCAATAGTGAATTCGTAAACCATTCTTCAAAAATATCGGAATTCATATTTGAATGGTAATCAATCTGGCAGCTATCAATTTTTTTTCCAATTAATAGTAAGGCATTGTCAACCCAACCGTCCTCTGAGCCACAGTTTAATATTATTAGTCGAGTGCCTTTATTTGGAGGGATACCTAAGGCTTGGCAATATTTATTATCGTTTGTCCAGCCCTTTTTTGCAGTATCATGCGAATCATACCACGTTTCATCCAGAAAATAAATTGGCCTGCTTTCATTTTTATATTCACGAATTTTCTGTAAATAAGAATTTCTCCAGTTTACTATTCGTCTTGTTTCCATCACTGCGCTTCTTTTATCTATCGTTTTGTATTTAAAACCGATTTTTTTTAGCCAATTATACAATGTAGACTTTTTTATATTTGTATCGAAATAAGTTTCACTTAAGCGTCTATGTATAATATCAAGAGTGGGAATGGTATTTTGTTTATAAAGTTCATACACTGTATTCACAATGGATTTGGCCATGGATGGATCTAATTTTTTTTGCACACCTTTGTCTTCACGGACTTTTCTGCTGGAAATTCCATTTTTTATAATTTGGTTCATTTTATAAACCGATATACCAGTAAGAAACGCTGCTTCTTGCACGGTAGAAGTGTTTTCGATATATCCACGTTTTAACACATTTTTATAAACATTTAAACAAATTTGCTGGGACTCTTAATTTAAAAAGAGTTTATTTTTACTTTCCTATCTGTATACAGATATAAGGAAAGTATAGGAATCATGATTTTTTTCGACCTCGAGTTTTCGACGGATTTTTACGTTTTGAGGTCCCCTGAATCCGTTTTGACTATTTTCGCGATGATGTCTGTGTGTGTGTCTGTGTGTCTGTGTGTCTGTGTGTCTGTGTGTCTGTGTGTCTGTGTGTCTGTGTGTCTGTGTGTGTGTGTGTG